AGGTACTGAGCCTTCCCACCTGTGTTTTATATCTATGCCTTCCATGTTAGTAAGAGCCTCCCAGGATATTATCTGTGGCAGAGTTCAAGTAGCAATAGATGCCTCTCTGTGGGAAAGAATTGATCCCAGATGGTTCCTTTCTTGAAGAATGTGGTGGTCCACTCTGTCCTCAAGGTGCCATTGCTGAACCCAGCTGTACTGGATAATTTTTGTCCACTCTCCAAGTTTCTAGGGGTTTTTTTTTAGAATAAGGTAGATAAATGGTTTCTAAGGACTTTGGATGAAATATCTGAACCTAATGCAATCTTAGGTCAGGTTGGGATATAGCACTGAGACAGCATTGATTGTGTTTGTGGATGGCTCAGATGAGGATAGTGCAGGGGTGTCAAACTCACAGCATCACATTGTTGTCACATTACATATGGTGACTTTTACCCCTAGCCCTAACCCTAAAATGGGGGTGGGCACAGCGGGCGCATGACGCATCCAGCCAGTGGTGAAATGCAACTTTTTTTTACTGCTGGTTCTGTGGGTGTGACTTGGTGGGCCTGGCAGGGGAAGGATATTGCAAAATCTCCATTCCTACCCCGCTCTGGAGCCAGCCACAGGTGGTATTTGCCGGTTCTCTGAACTACTCAAAATTTCTGCTATTGTTTCTCCAGAACCTGCTGAATTTCACCCCTGCATCCAGCCTCCTAGTTTGACATCCCTCGGATAATGCATCCATCCAGGCTCTTCTTGATTTTTCAGTACCATTGACTATGGTAACTTGAACCACCTGAAAGGATCTGGAGTGGGAGGCACTGTCCTTCAGTGGTTCCCCTCTTGTCACTCTGGCCAGATCCAGTTGGTGTTTATGGGTGGGGGAGGAAGAGACATCTAGCCCTAGTTCCTGCTTAATATATGTACATGAAACCCTATCCATAAACATGGGGTGAAGTTTCATTGGAGTACTGATGATACTCAGCTGTACTTGCCCCAGCCCATTCAAATGATGCTATCAACATTTTTCCCCAGTGCCTGGAGGCTATGTGGCTTTGGTTGAAGAGGAACTGTCTTCAGCTCAATCCTGAAAAGACTCAATGGCTATGGGTTATAGACCCACCTGTGATCTTTTCTTATTAACTCTAGATGGGATAACAGGGGTCTTCCTGGACTCATAGCTCCTGCTCAAAGAACAGGTGACAGTCATAACCTAGAAGGTCTTTTGTACAAATACAACATGCTTCATTGGGACCCATTCTTAGATCAGAAGGCCCTGCTCATGATCACTCAGTCAGCCCCCATTTTACTACTAGGTTTAGGTTTAATTTATTTGTATGCCGCCCTTTTCCCTAAGGGGACTCAGGGCGGCTCACAACTCAAAAAGGGAGGGGAAACTACAATGGATCTGCCCTTGAAAAGCATTTGGAAGCTTCAGCTGGTCCAGAATACAATGGTGCATACATTCAGTAGTGGACACATATTACATAATATCATTGCACTGGCTCCAGTAGGCTAACAGGAAGAATTCAAGGTCCTGGTAGCCACCTTCAAAGGTCTGCATGACAAGATTAATTGCAAAACCAACTTGCTCTTCCCTGCCCCCCTCCCCAAGCACTAGAGCCAGACAGTTTGGAAACTCTGAGGAGGCTGTATATGGTAGACATTTTGTGTTTTTAATGAGAGGGCCTTGCCCCAGGGTTTTGCTATTTGCTTGCATTATTGTTAATATTTTATATTCATCACCCTTAGTTTTATCAGATAGCTAGGTGACCCTATGAATCAGATGATAGATGGATGGATGGGTGGATGGATGGATGGATGGATGGATGGATGGATGGGAGGGGAGAGAGAGAGAGAGAGAGAGAGAGAGAGAGACGATGGGTAAATGGATGATAGAGCTGTGTGTGTGAGAGAGAGAGGGGGGGAGGAGAGAGAGAGAGAAGAGGAAGGGAGAGGGAGGGAGAGGAAGAGAGAGTTAGAGATGATGGGTAGATGGATGATAGAGGTGTGTGTGAGAGAGGGGGAAGGAGGGAGTGTGTGTGTGCGAGCGTGTGTGCGTGTGCGAGAGAGAGAGAGAGAGAGAGAGAGAGA